GGGGTTCTATGCTGAGAGGTCTGGTGCCTCCTACTCCACTCTGAAGATCCAGCCTGTAGAGCAGGGGGACTCGGCCGTGTACCTCTGTGCCAGCAGCTTAACCACAGCGCTGCAGAGTCATCCTCTTCCTGCTCTCAAACCCTCATGTGCTCACCTCTCCTCATAGTTCCCAGAACAAAGGAGTGGCCCTCTTCTTCCCCCATCAAGGGGAGTAAGTGCCGTTGGCACTTTCACTGTCTTTCTGATACTGGGAGGTCAGGAAATGACCTTTGAAACCCAAGAACAGATCTGCTGGGTAATAATATTCTGTCTGTGGATTTCTGGGATTCTTTTATAGTTCAAGATTCTACAATTGAGATTGAGCACCCGTACTTAGGCTCAATCAAGTGGTAAAATCTTCTTCTGTAAAATATAAAATTTCAACACATTTACAATAAACTACCTGTACTGAGTGTCTCTTACTCAGACCACATTAAGCTCTTGTGTGGACAGCCCATGCAAAGGACTATCAAGGCCACATGCAGCCACCAGCCTTAAAATACATAAATTAGAACCCTCAGTAAGAACTGTCATTGAAATCAATTATCCAGGAGCACCTGTCACCCACAATAATGCACATTAATGTATGCCTATATATTGTTTTAGTATTTTTCTCTGCAATCCTGAAGTCTTCTTCTCCACTCTATTTTTAATAAAAATTTAACTTTAGCTTGATGTAATAAAAACCCTACTTGAGAAGGTGTTAAAGAAAAGTGATTCAAAGACGACCTGATAACAGTTACAGTAAACCCCTTTTATTTTGGGGGGATACTTTTCAAGTGGATGCCTGAAACCACAAATAGTATCCAAATTCTATACAGACTGTTTTTTCCTATAAAACACATCTTTTACTTAAAGGAAGCACTTTATGGCATCTCTTTGGCAAATCTAAATGGCCAGAATCAATATTCATGTGCTTTGGGGCACATGAGCAAAATAAGGGTGTCTAGAACACAAGCTACGTGATGCTGGTACGGTCAGTCTGATAACAAAGACAGCTACAAAGGGGCTAATACCATGTTGTGTACACAGCATGGATATGCTGAACAAAGGGATGGATCATATCCTGTGTGGGACAGCATGAGGCAGAATAAGATTCCATCAGGCTATTCAGTATGGTGCTGAAGTAAAACCTTGGGAATTGTTTATTTCTGGAATTGACCACTAATAATTCTGAACAGCACTTGACTGCTGGTAACTGAAACTGTGGAAAGTGAAACTGCATATAAGGCGGGACTATTGTATGTAAAAACAATAGCAAGACAGAGAGTAGATAAATAGATACCTTACCATTGTGAGGTTTTCCTAATCTGTGTCCAGTGGTATAATATCACTTGAAGGTAGACTGTGTTAAAGCAGAGATGTGAATTGCAAACTCTAGAGCCATCACTAAAATAACAAACACAATTAAAGCTAATGAGCCAACAAAAAAAGAGGAAATGGAGTTATTAATATGCTCAATTAATACACACAAAGACATAAAACAAAGGAAAAGGGACAAAAAAGAGATGGAACTAATAGAACAAATAGCAAGATGATAGTTATTGACAAACTAGATCAATAATCATATCAAATCTAAGTAGTCTAAATACTGCAATTAAAACCATAGACTGTGATATTCCTTACAAAAACAAAAACAATAACAAAAAACCTGTATGCTACCAACTAGAAATGCACTATAAACATGAAGACTCAGAAAGTTCTCTGAACAAGATATACCATGCTAACACTAATAACAAAAAAGCTGGAGCAGCAAAATTAATATCAAACAAAGTAAATTTCAGAGCAAAGGATGTCATCTGGATAACAGAGGTCATATTCTAATGATAACAAAACAATCTAATAAGAAGACATAGCAATAATAAATATTTGTTCATGTAAAAACAAAGCTTCAAAACATTGAACCAAACCAGCAAGGAGAAATAGACAATTTCATAATTATAGTCAGACATTTCAACACCTGTCAGAAATGGATAGAATAACTTATTGATCGCCTTGGCCTAGCTGACATTTATAGAACAGTTCACCCACCTGCAGCAGAATACACATTCTTATTGAGTGTACGTGAATCATGATAAAACAAGTATCAATACATTTAAAAGAATTCACTTACAAAGCATGTTCTCCAAACACCAAGGAACTAAATTAGAAATCAACAACAGAAAGAGACTTGGAAAACTCTCAAATATTTGGAAATAAAATAACAATCTTCTAAATAACCTATGGGGCAAAGAACAAAGCAAAAGGGAAATTCTAAAGTGAGTTTAACCAAATGAAAATGAAAATGTAATGTAAGGACAGAAAACAGGCCTCTCCTTTTCTTTGTTGTGGCCTTTCCACGATTTATGAGAAGTGCTTGATAATTAAACCCTGAGATTGTTAGCTCTTCTGATTTAAATAGCTCCTCTATTCAAACAGCAGGACCAGATCAGACTATACTCAAGGCTATAATCTTTCCCCACCCCTCCTCCCTGCTGTTTTATTTTTCATTATTTCTTCATCTGAAGCCTTCTCTTTTTATTATTTTTAATTCAAATTCTTAATTGTTTAACAAATTACATATGTCTCCTTTCCCCCCCATTGACCTTTCCCCCGCCGCTCCCACCCCCCAGCCCATGCTCTCAACTCCCTATTGTCTGTGTCCATTGGTTATGATTATATGCATGTATACAAGTCCTTTGGTTGATCTCTTATCCCCTCCCCCTGCCTTCCCTCTGAGGTTTGACAGTCTGTTCAATACTTCTATATCTTC